GCATGGACGAGACCGTGTGTGGGGTCATGTGAGGTGTCTATGGACTCCCTCCTCAGAGGCTAGCAGCCAGCCGCTAGCCCTCTCTCGCACTCACGGGCAGTGACAATTCTGCCTCCGCGGGAGCCTCCCTGAGCCGCGGGAGGTAGGTAAAAAGAAAACGAAGCCGCGCCCGCCTAAACGAGAATCGGCCTCATTGCTTCTCAATATGGCCTCGAGGCTACACGTCGCCATGCTGCTGTCGGCAATCGGCCTCTCGGCCGGTGCGCACTCGGAGCGTCGCGAGGATGGCTTGAGACTCGAATTTGACTTCTCCACCGAGATCGTCAACAACATGGCCGGCTTCCCTGGAAGCGACGCCGTCGCTGGCTGCTCAACTGATTCGGTGCCAGCGCCCCCCAACACCCTCGCTGTCGCCGTCCGCCTCCTTGCCGACTGTCCCCCTGATCTCCCACATAAGCGCCTCCCGATAAGACGCTACCTTCCACCCGTCCCACACCACCGTGACTTCCGCCTCCCCCTCCTCCCGCACTCCTCCCGCACATCACCGCCGCCTCCAGGCGTTTGGGATCGACCCGGCTCGTTGCGGTGTTGGCATACTCGCCGAACCATACGACAACTACAAATTCCCAGACGGCACCGAAAAGTACCCAAACTCGCCGACCAGCTGGCCAGAGTGGTCGAGCATTACGGGGCCTTTCATCTACTACACAAATGGCGCAAGCAACGAGTTCTACATCGACCTCAACAACTGCGGTGCGCCTCTCCCAGCTGCCCCTCTCCCGCACAGCGCGGCGAGCGGATAATGGGCCGGTGCTAGCGCGCTTGTTTCTCCTGAGCGGCCAACGGAAATTGAGGCAGCGGTCTCTCTGCAGCAGCACACAGCTGCTCCGCCGCCCCGCGCGCAGACTGCATCGACTTTGACTCGCCGCCCGAGAAGAAGGTGGTCCGCTACGAAAATGTCGGCGAGGTGGCGGACCCCCCTCCCCTCCCCCCCCCCCCACCACCACCACCACCCCCACCCCCACCCCCCACCCCCACCGCCCCCCTCCGCCCTCCCAACCCTGACTTTTCTACCTCTTGCAGAGGCGGCCAGCTCGAACACTCTGGCCCTCCTCCCCTCACATGCCGCCCCCCTCTCTCCA